CAAATAGACAGACAGACGGACAGACAGACAGAGGGACCGGACGGACAGACATACAGACAGAGAGCTGATAAATAGACAATATTTTAATAATGCATTCATTTTCGTTCGACAGGTTTTGTTTGCATCAAGGGTTAGCCATAAAAATGAGACACGATAGTTGAATCTATACATCTCTACAAATGTATCACTTTAACAAATCGTGATACAGAACCGTTACAGCTTTGCATCAATGATGATTTTCCATCATTACAATTCATATCAAGTATAACTTTACATCAAGACAACTCATGTGTGTTAGACGTGTATACCTTTTCATAGTTAATCTCTGTTCACTTGAACACTGTAACAACTAATTTACTGGCATAAGATGAAAACAGATTGATTTGACCAGTATAATATTCGCCCAGTATGATGAGCAATCTAAGCACAGATTGATTTGACCAGTATAATATTCGACCAGTTTGAGCAAACTAACAACAGATTGATTTGAACAATGTAATAATAGATTGATCCTAAAATATAACTACTCATGTCTGTAAATAAACAATATGAATGATGTGGACTTATAACAATATTGACTTTTTGTCACGGGCCAAGACAGAGCCAGTACCTCTGTAACTGTACAAATAACGCGGGTGTTCAAAGGGCGACGATTTCACAATGGATTTCGCAACTCGCTAACCAGGTATTTCCCATTTAGACAACGACAATATCTGAATTTGAAGGACAGCGTTTATCGACAGTTCTGTCCATTAATTTGGACTTTATGATAAGGTCTACATTAATTGTGGTGTAGCAAAGCGCATAAACTGAGGAATAATTAATAATAACAATAATAATACAGTAACTGCTGCCTCATCATCACCTACATCCTCGCTGTCAAGACCCATGTACAATGAACGAACACGCTTATTTCCACTGGGATCTACTCCGACAGCCACTTCAGACGTCACAGTTTGGTATGGGAGCGCCTTTCTTTGATCTCAACAGGTAAGGGAATGTCAACACCTTTTGTTTTGTTACGTTCAGATGTCGACACTTAGCGCTCAACTGCTGGCTTTAAAAGTTTTGGGTTCGAATGCCCGTCAAGGCGGAAAGTATTAGTCAAGGTTTCAACTTCACTGTCCTTGGGTCACCCCCACATTTGTTCCGTTGCCGTGCCAGTGAAAATCAAATGGCATGTCCCTCACTGTCACATCTGGAAAACTTGTGAAGAAACAATTAGCCCCAGCACAATCCAGAAGTAAGGCCATGTAGTAAATACCGTTCCTATAGTCGCTAAAGAAAACAGTGCAGCTTGTCGTTGATAGAAACACTTGGACACGATAAGTTAGCCATATACACTTAAGGTTATTACATAACGTATTTCACCAGCTCACACGTAAATAGGCTGCCAGAAACATTGAATACCGCGACTGAGCCGCTGCACAAAAAATAGTCATTTCACAAGAAAAACACAGCTCACATTGTCGCATTAAGAACTAAACTCAATAGCTCAAGCAGCAAAACCGTAGTCGTCCGTTCATACATGGAAATTGCATCAGCAAAGCAAAAATAATTTTTGAAGCTAAACATTCCGGCATGCTTAGTTCTCCAAACTGGACGGCAAGTTCAGATGACGTCAAGGCAAATGATTTATTCTTTGAAAATTGACCTCTAAAATTGACCAAGCCTGCAGTTCCTTATTGTTATTGTCCTGCAAAGTAAAAGTGGCCGGTGTGCTGTGGACCATATCTTGCAACGAGTACCAATTGGCCAGAATTATACATATTTTATTTTCAATTTCCCTAAACAAAGGAAATCCTGGAGTTCCCTGGAAAGTCCAGTATTCAGGGGTGTTATGAGTTTGGACTGGGTTATGGGTTAGGGTTAGAGTTAGGTTTGAGAGTAGGGTTGGTTGATGTCTCTGAGACGATTGTGGCTTGAAAATATCCTAGCTTATTACGCCAGAAGGCATAGCAAAGTGTCCCTTCAAAGTCAGGTAATGGACGTAGTCACTATACATGAATATCAGCGCCTTTGAACGCAAATTTTACGGTCGATTTTTAAAGTACTGGAGACCAAGAATAGAAAGACAAATACATTACTGACATTCTTCACGAATTGAATATTGAACGGCACATGTTTATACCAACCCTCTGCTACCAATGCCAAACCTGGTCCCTAACAAGAGCACAGGAGAATAAGATCACAACGTGCGAAATGAGATGCTTACGTAAGGCTGTCAATGTCACAAGGAGAGACAGAGTTCGAAACGAGAACATTAGATCAATTGTAGGAACCACACCATGCCTGCAATACATAAAGAAGCAACAAATAGAGTGGTTTGGCCACTTGATGCGAATGCAAACCGACCAACTGCCTCTACGAGCATACACCGAACAGCACTACTGCCCTAGAGCAAGAGGCAGACCGAGAGTACGATGGATAGACAATATATCAGAGATCCTGAGGCAACACGGACTAACAACAACACGTGCAACACACCTGGCCCAGGATAGAAAACTGCGACTCCCCACTACGCTGTGAGGCAATTGTGGACAAGACAAAACAAGACAAGACTGACTCATAAACTCTATAGTGTGTGGTGAAACCCAGGTAGTCTTAAGCCCAGATGATGTTGCAAAGTTGTTTAGCCCGTAAATCAAAATCTAAACGAAGTAAAAAAAAAAATAGCATTAAGGACACTTTCCACATCACTTGCGCTTCGGACATATCGTGCTACGCCCAGCAGAAACGCAAGACCGCCATAGGGAGTCGCTACCGCTCAACTGCTTACACGTTTATAATGTACAAACAGTTACTGGTACCACAGGGATTGGATCTCTTCGCTTGCTGCTGAAGATGGGAATAGAGAGCCTATAGAAGCGTTCCGAATGCTTTTATGTCGATTCTTAATTCAACCTACAACGATTAACACACACACATATCTATATATATAATTATTGAAACATACTGGTATTTTTTTTTTTTTTTTTTTGACGTATCCAGAAACCATGAGTTGTAAACCCTTTGGCTCGGTACTATGGATATCGCAACCCTTCGGCATTGATTCCATTATAGGTACCGTTAATCTGGGAGAAATGTGGATTTTCTGCCTACTCCCGGGAGTGAACCCGGACCACAAGGAGTTCGTCACCCGGCCGCCGCGAAAGTCAGGTTTAACCAACTTCGCTAGAGAGCCGGGCAAACATAATAGTAAGATCTGTAAATAAATTATAGGTTCCTACCTAAATTCTTATAAATACTATATTCTGGATTTGAATTCATCATTGGCATCTGCAGCTATATACCTCAGATCTTTATGCCTTCAGGTCTTGTTTTCAAAACATCTAGACTGCTGATTTTAGTTGTCAAGAAGACATCGGACACATTTAGTATGCCTGTCATGTTTTTCTATAAATAATGTGTGTCCCTGCTTATTTCGTCCAGCATCCAGCACCCTTTATTTAAACATGAAGATTATCGGGCGATGCCAGGATCTGATGCCTCTGTATACCTCCACGCGAACTACACGAGCAGATCATTAGGCTAATCTCCTTGCAAACCAGGAGGACACGTTTGTTCTGCTGCTGTCGACCAGCAAATGCAAACAATTTAGAAAACATTTCACTTTGCAGAAGGATTAGAAAACTTGCTGTGAGATGTCACCACAAGTGCTTTGGCGTTTGCTGTTCCAATTTATACGGTGGACTTGTTTAAAGAGTTATTTGGGAGAGCCCTATGTGAGGAGAAGTTTCCCTTTAAAGGAAATAGCTTAGAGACCTAGGGTAGGACTAACCTATTTACAGTACACTGACTGGGCTATCAATAGCCCTCAGATGACGCTAAAGTAAATAGAGGATAAAACGTCAAGATGTGTGCTATTTGTATGGGTTTTGTGTTGACGTCAGATTATAAAAGGGAAACATTCATCATCTTAATTATCGTCATCATCATCATCATCATCATCATCATCATCATCATCATCATCATCATCATCAACTAGTACCTTCTTCGAAACAAACTTCTGATGCTTTTGTTCTATACTCTCTTATTCTATTTCCTGATCACGTCTTTATGTTGACTATCTAAATATATCTCTGGCGTCACAGCTGTGTATCCCTTAGTCTTTTCATTATATCTCCGTTTAAAACATACTGATATAATCATCATTATCGTCATCATGTTGTGCTTTCTTCAAAGTAAATATCTGTGGTAAAATGGCTCCAATAGTTAAAGTTCTGATGTCTTCGTTTGAAATTCTGCTAGTGTATCCAGATGATTTCTTGAGATTTAAGCCCCTTTTTTTCTGTAGTGTCCTGCCTGTTTATCCATTGCTCTTGTTAACCCTAAATCGACTTTAGCCTGTTGTGATTTGATGTGTATTTCTTGTTGATTGATATTTGCGGGGAGGGGGGAGAGCTGTCGTGGCCTAGCGATTAGACCCTCTGCTGTGGATCCGAAGGTCGTGGGTTCGGGTCCTGACAGGGCATTGACTTTTTTTCCAAAATGACTTTGACTCCCAGATCGACCCGGCCTTGAATGGATACCAGGTACAATCCTAGGAAGTAAAGGCAGCCGGTGTAGTGCTGACCATATCACCCACAAAGTGCCGTTTGGTCTATAAAATATATAGGTCTAGCCCTACATCTACGTCTGATTGCCTGGAAAAGGATCCTTTATTTTTGTTGAAATTTTGAATTGTCTCTTGTCTTCAGCTTTTATTCTCCATCCTCACCCACACACGGCTGCAGGTTACACATGGCTGCAGCTTACACATGACTGCATGTTACAAATGGCTGCAGGTTACACACGGCTGCAGGTTACACATGGCTGCAGGTTACACATGACTGCATGTTACAAATGGCTGCAGGTTACACTTGGCTGGCGTAACCGTTACGGCAGCCCAAATTATAACCACTTTTCTTTTTTTTTTTTCTTTCTTTTTTTGTTTGTTTGTTTGTTTGTTTGTTTTGTTTTTGTTTACATGAACTTTATTTTCCTCAGAATAAATTCAATTATTTAGCCTTCTTGGACTTCAGTTTCCTGGAATAGAACTCCAACTCTTTGCCTTCGAGGATGTAACCATCCACTCGGCCACACTGTCCTGGCCGAGAGGAGATCTTGGCAAGAACTCTCCTAGTGGCAAACTGTTCTTCCAAGGCTTGCTCCACTTTGGCTTGTTTCTTTCTCTCATCGTATTTCTTCTGGGTCTTTTTTGAACGCACTTTGTTCAGCATTGCTTCGTACCACTGCCTAAATGGGGTAGAGTCAATCTGTATGATGGAGCTCTTCACCGGTGTCTTTGTACGCACAAACTCATTGTTGGACGGGTTGTACACCACATCAATGACACGTGTCTTACGTGTGATTGCTTCACTGCCCCAGGAGAAGTTGCCATGATCCTGTCGAAGAGCCCCATACTTCTTGTTTCCACCCATTGTCCTCACTGTGTGAATTCTTTTGGCTCTGAGCTTGGTGTTTGCTGCTGGGCGTCCAAACTTTTCAAGCTCTATTGTTAGGCGTGCCACGCAGAAAGAGATTTAAAAAAAATAGCAGTATGGTAGACCCTTAGGTAGAAGTCCGAAGGGGACACACCAATCGATTTAACCTTGATCTTTCAAATACAATGTACTAATGTTGAACACTTTCATCATTCATCATCATAATCATAGTCGTCTTCATCGTCATCAACATCATTAACATGTGAATAAATAGCTAATGGCTAAAGCACTAATTAACAATGGCAGTTATCATTATTCACAAAAGTACATTATCTGGCGCCTTCTCTTGTCAGCTCTTCCTGGATTATCTGCCTTGGTAGGCACCTGGCTTTGCTGCTTTATAAGAAGTCACCAAAACCATTTGAGCCCCTGCTTCTGAATCTCTTTGACAGAAGGTGTTCTTCGCAGAATCCGATAAAAGTTCATACTCCGATATGGATGGTCAGACTGGCGACTGTTACCAAGAACCTCATCTCACGTGGAACCTCTTTCAACAAGATATAGTCAATCTATCCCGTGGCGAGGTCTGATTCTCCGGCAATGTTGTCCTTTCTCTCTCTCTCTCTCTCTCTCTCTCTCTCTCTCTCTCTCTCTCTCTCTCTCTCTCTCTCTTATAAACACCCTGTAACACAAAGTGCCACCATGCGGATGAGGATCACCAGTGGAGATACCCCAGAAACCCCTTTCAGCCGTTAGGACATATTTATGGCCCGGCTATACTCAGGGCTTCAGGCAAAAGCCCGGGTCGGGCTTCAAATAACGAAAAATTGCATCCCACATATGGACGACTGTAATAATCGATAGGTAATGTTGTTAGTAACACCTTTACTTAACTCGCTTAGTCTTAGAAAGTCCTATATAATATATGAGAAAGGCAAGCATGATAACACTAAACTCATGGATATACTAATTTCACAGAGACCAAATAGCCGGACCTTGAAGAACACATATTATATCTGAAAATTTTAAGAATCCTTCACTAAACCTCAAATATAAAACATAGCTTATTGAGTGGTGCAAGTTAATAATGTCCAGTCCAACATGATGTAATAATTGGGGCACAAAAAGTTCACACACCATTTACGTATACCTGTGTTAGGCTAGATCAACATAGAAGACTTAATCTAGCTTAACTAGGAATGTCTATGACAACAGGGATTGTGGACTCATATAGAAGCCACAGCGCTGCTAGAGTGCCATTGCGTTACCAGCAAAATATGTCAACGCGCTTCGTAAAACCGGTGTACCGGGTTCGATCCCAACAGAGGGCCTTGATCCTTGCGTTGGTTTCGACCGTGGTATCGAGAAGCCGACCGTTTAGATGGCAAACTACTGGACGTAAATTTGCCTAGAAAAACATCAACAGTAAAAAAAAAAATGCTTTGGTTGGTTCCACAACGCCATGTAAAGGATAAGCAACCAACTTTTTCAAACACAAAAATGGCACTGCATACAATTCACAGGGCGTGAGTGAAATATGCGCCTTGTTAGGCTGTAAATATTTACCTATTTGAACTTCTATTTTACGACGCATTCCGAGTTTATAATAGGAAGAATGCTACTTGTATATATAACTGTACAAAATCTAATAATATTCTAGCCATTCAGACTGACACATTCTTTGCACACTGATACATTCATAAGAGCATCAGTCTTCTCTCATATATCATCACTGTCATGAAACGGGTTCTTGACGATGAATCTAGGACAAGGTGTCGTTCCCACAATTTGTTTGACAGCATCGTTATTCAGATGGTTCGGTTGGCGACTTTTCTTAGGCATCTCATCTCGCAAGTGGAAAAGATGATAGTAATGATGATAATGTTGACGATGTAACGACGAATGCCAATGTTTCGATGATGTTGGTTTAATATAAACCACATTTTCCTTTGATGACATTGACTTGACACATCACAGATAACAACATTCAATAACTTAAATAGTATTTTGGAGATGCAAAGGCAGTCATTAGCTTGAATTGAAAACAATAGTTTCCCTTAGTGAATTTTTTTTTTTTTTAAATATCCAGAAACCATGAGTTTTTAACCCTTTGGCTCGGTACTATGGATATCGCAACCCTTCGGCCTTGATTCCATGATAGGTACCGTAAATCTGGGAGAAATGTGGCTTTTCTGCCTATCCCAGGGAGTGAACCCGGACCACAAGGAGTTCATCACCTGGTCACCGTGATGTCAGGTTTAAACAACTACGCTAGAGAGGCTGGCTCCCTTAGTGAATTTAAATAAACAGACATCAACAATCACGAGAGTTAATAAGCAGAAATGGCTGGGACTCATTGAAAAAATGTCAGATGACAGAGAAGTTAAAAACTGAATACACAAGGGAGATGAATGGTCGTAGAGCACAATGCAGACCAAGAAGACGATGCAGAGATAATGTCCAGACAGACCTGCAAACACTTGGTGTTACCAACTGGAAAGAAAAGGCCAACCAGCGCGATGAGTGAAGGCGGGTGATATCTGTAGTAATGAACCTCAAGAGCTCGGAATGCTAAAGAAGAAGAAGAAGACATAAACAATATATTTCCCAATGTTTGGCCTGGCATATTTTGCTGTCTTGTCATGTGCATTACCACAGTTACATAAAATACAATAAAAGTAAAAAGTAAAGTTCCCTTTTCACGCCTTTTGGCGCCTCGGGCATATGGGCAGAGCGTCCCATATTTTTACAGACCATCAGCACTCTGTGGGTAATGTGGTCAGCATTACGCCGGCTGTCTTTACTTTCCCAGGACAGCCCATCCTGGTACCCATTTTAGGCTGGGTCGACCTGCGACGTCCCATAAAATACAATGAAGCACAAAAATTAATCCTTTGCACAGAAATGCACAGAAGACGTAACCTTAGTCTCCCCAGGCCCCGCTGATATACACACTAGCTCACTTCTTATTGGTAGCCACTCTTCTTCTTTTTCTTTCGTTCGCCTGAAATCAGTTGTCTATATCAGCAATTGTGTCTCTTGTATAAATTTCACTGTTGTTTTTAATTCATTCAGTGTTCCATAGAGTTTACGTTCCACTGTTGTTCTTTCTGGCCAAAAGGTTTGCCTTAATGTGTCAAATTCGGTTCAGTCCTGGAGTACATGCTCTGCTGTCTGGGGCACTTTTCCACAGGTGCACATGGCTGATACGCCTATCTTGAATTTTGTGTACATGCGGTTATGTAATCGGTTGTGCCCTGCTCTGAGGCGGAGGATAATGACTTGTTCTGATCTGTCCAAAATAAAATAGTCGTCTTGTGCTGGGGCTGGTGGTTTCCTGATTGATTTAATGATTCTTTTCTTTTGGTGGTATGTGACTGGTACATCCGGCTGCACTTTTGTCACACCTTCTTCTGCCAGTTGATCAGCTTTCTCATTTCCAAGCACTCCACAATTTGACGGTATCCACTGCATTACAACTCTTTGCTGAAGGCTCAGTTGTGTCAGCAGTGTTTGCAATTCTGATAGTTTCCTAGACTGGAGTGCTTCAAGTACTGATTTTGCATCTGTGAGTATTATTACATACTGGGAGCCAAGATTGGTATTTAGCAGTTTCTCTGTTGCTATCTTGATAGCCTAAGTTTCTGCATCATAGTTATGGCAGTACTTTCCGGTTGGTACGCTGGACTTATCCCTAGTACCATCTGGGAATTCTACGTACACTCCAGCACCACCATTTCTAATTGCACTTTCTGCGAACCCATCTGTATAGACTCTGACCCATTGTTCTTGGGGGTATTCTTCATCAATATAACTGAGGGTGGCCATTCTGCGCTGTACACTATCTAGTTCTTTCTTGTCAAATATTCCTTTCACATTTGTCTGGATTTTTACTGTTAGTTTGCATTTCTCTCTCTCTATGGAATTTGTTCTGGAATACTGTTAAGTGGACAACTAACTTCTTGAAAGTCATCAGTTTGTCTACATATTCTGTTTGCTTGATGTATAAAGCTGCTTCTTTTTAACCGTCCCAAGGCTAGGTTATGAAATCTATTTTTCATGGGGTGATCTGGCATACAGAGGAACTTTTCAGCTTGTATTTGCAACTTTGTATCTCTGCGTTCTCTCAGTGCCTGTGTTTTCCCAGCTTTCTCCATTTCTAATATGGGGGTAGATTTCATCCCTCCTGTGATGACTCTGAGTGCTTGATTTTGCACTTTCTCCAACTCCTTTAATGTGATACTAGATGCTGAACACCATGTTGTTGACCCATATTCCAAGTGTGGAAGTATTATCTGCTTGTATACTGTATTGAATATTTTCCCACTGGCTCCCCATGTGGTTCCACTTAGTTTTCTTAGTATGGCTGTCTTCTTCCTGGCTTTGGTTGCTGCCTTGTTGATATGTTTCCTCCATGTCTACCTGTCATCAAATGTAACTCCGAGGTACGTGGGCTCTTTATAATCTCTTATGGGTATTCCGTTTATTTTGATGATGCCCGCTTTTTGCTTTGGGGAAAGAGTGAAGAGTGTGGTGCTACATTTGTCTGTATTGATGCTGACACACCATCTATTGGCCCATGCCTCAAGTGCATAAGTAGCCCGCTGTAGTGTTTTTGTGGCTATCGTTGCATGTTCATCGGTGCACTACAGTACCAGGTCGTCGGCATAAATTGCCATTTTGATTCAATTTGGTATCTCAGCAACCGGGTCGTTGATGAATAAGAGGAAAAGTGTGGGCGACAGGACACCACCTTGAGGGACGCCATGTCGCAGTAGAACATTTTTACTTTTGAAACCATCTACCTGTACCCGGGCTCTTTTGTTCTGTAGATATGCTTTAATCCAATTGTACATTCTTCCATTTACTTTATAGTTTCTCACTTTCTTCAAAAGCTCCTCCTTCCAAACCTTGTCAAAAGCTTTCCTTAAATCTATCCATGCCGCGAGTACCAGTTTCTTGTCTTAAAAAGCATCATCTATTTCTTGATAGAGGTATGTTGTTTGGTCTTCCGTAGAGTAGAACTTCCT